GAGCCCCCGGCCCTGGGGGGATTTACCAGCCGGGCAGCCGAGGTGCTGAGGGCCAGGGTTTGGGGGTGGGATGGCAGGGGTAGGGGAACGCTTGGACTGGGGGAGCTTCAAGGGCTTTGCCAACCCAGACAATTCTGGGATTCTATGACAATTCTATAGCCAAGCTTGCTACCCACTCCATCAAATGGTTCGAGACAGAAGTCCCAATGTTGCTTTTGAACTTTTGTTTGCAGTAGCTACAGGACGCAATTCCTCTTAATCAACCTTAGACACCTAAAAGCTAGCTGGGAACTGGAGCTGGTAATTCCAACGTCCCTCTGCAGTCAGTAACAGGTCCATGAAACTCCCCTTGGAGATGATGGGTGGAGATGTCTGCAGGTCCTCACCAGCCCAACCTGCCCAGACGCTGCTGCTGCTTCACCGGAGCAGGTTTGGCCCCTGAGGAACCACCACGTTAGCACTCCACATTAAATTACTTCCAGGATGTGTCTATTTTCTTTCTTTCTCTCTCTCTCACAGGGTTAATTAGGATTCCTGGGTTAAATTGATACCTCTAAATCCAAGCATCTAAAGTTAAATGAGGGGAGTCCATCATTAGTTCAAAACCTGCTTGTCCCCATCACCGCTCCTGCTATTACAAAAGAAATTACTTACAAGGACACGGTCATTAGAATAGTGTCTTAATAATGTACCCGTCATTAGTAACACAAGACTCTTATAAGTCACTCGTTGCAATTTATTCGTGAAAAATCAAGTAGGCAGAAGGAGGGACAAAAGCTCGGACGGCAGCATTGTCTCCAAGGCACCGGCAAAGAACGACTCCGGAAGCTTCCGGATCCACATCCAGAGAGGTGTGACTAGAGCACATCCCGACCGGAGACGGGACGCCTGCCTTGTTAAGCATCCATTTTTACACACACGTGCACGTAAATGGACGCAAAAGACGCACGAGCTGCTGTATCGCTCAGGCTTCCAGTCTGAAAGTTGCATTTTACCAGCAGGAGATGGTCTTTGAATTTCTAAATAATATATATGTCCCAGCTGCTTTCACTACCCTACCATAAACAGACGAAATGATGCTAAGGAATGACCGTTAAAAATGGAAAAACGTCAATAATAATGGAAATTTTGAGAATATGTTTCCAGATTCCTGGGCCGAGGTCTGTGTCTGGGGGGCGGATTAAGCTGCCAAAACTAAAAAGGGAAGATGTCCCTGTTTTAAAGAAATAACGATACTTATCTCAAGGTGGCTCTCATGAAAAGGAAAGAATCATAGAATCACTTTGGTTGGAAAAGACCTTTAAGATCATCGAAAGCAACAATCCCAGTAAAAAAATATATATAAAAAAGAGAAGACAAACTAAACTAAATATTAAAATATGTTAGTGACACAAAACGGCAAGAGAAGCAAAATGCAATGAGAGGAACCACAATACTCAGAGGGTTGAGCGTACCAGGTTATAAAAATTACCTGGGAACAGCAAATTCCAGCAACGGCCGAGGCCCGTTACTGCCCAGAAACAGAGCAACCACCAGCAATATTATAGGATTGGCAGAAGAATGCAACAAATATTTCTGTTCATTAATTAAGGAAGGAATCAGACGGTCTAGTCATGCCACAGGGAACAGTTTCTCTTCCAAACAGCAATGCAGGCAGATGTGAAACAACAGCAAACAGAGCCGGTGGTTTTTAAGTTGGGAGATCTTCAAGCTGCATCCCAGCAGCTCTGAAAGAGCTGGACAAGAAACCCCCTGGAGCATTTATCGTAGCTTCCCACAAGCGTTAACTCGGGAGGTTGGGGAGCGTTGAAGGACGTGCTCTTGTGTCAGTATTTAAAAGGTGGGAGCAGGATGACCAGGTAACAGCAAGCTATCGGCCCAGCTTACAGCCCAGGAAGCCAAGGGAAACACTGGCATAAAACCTCATTAGGAATTTTAGGAAGTAAATAACTGATGTCTATCGACATGGAGGTCTTAAATCAATTCTCTGCGTTTTTATTAAGACTACAAGATCGGCTGCAACCTGTAACAGCTCTGATGCAGCATACTTAGAGTTCGGTAAATCCTTTAACTTTGTAAAGTATGATTTCTCAAGTAACTGGAATTGCATTACATAACATGGAATATATTAAACAGATTAATAATTGGCCGAGTGACAAGTCATAAAATATAACGAGATCATCATTAATCACGTGCTCGTACTGAAATCCCAGAAGGAGCCGTTCTTGCGCCCGACATTACTCATCCTCCTGCAAGCCATGAGCAAAAGCCACCGCAACCCAGCCTGACGCCGACTCTGAAAGCTGCAGATAGCGAAGGACACGAGCTACGGATCTGTTACCAATGTGACTACAACCTCGCACATTTTTATCACCAAACACGAACTTGCACCTGGGAACAGAGACCCTTCCCAGTCCAGATGGGACGTAACAGAGGAAGGACACACCAGCAACCCGTGAAGGCGGCAGCAGCCTGCTCCGTGCAAGAGCAAGGGGGCAAGAAATGAAAGTAGCAGGTGGCAAGTCCAACACCAAACAAGAGAGCGGTTTCTTCACACACCACCCAGCTAAGCGGTTTAGCTCCTTGCTGCAGGATGTTGTGCGTGCTAGATGTGTACGCGAGCTCAAGGGAAGACTGACTGTGACACAGAGCAGACACCCATGGTGGTTACTAAAAAGATGGACATCATCTTTGGCTGGGAAAGTCCTGGAGGTACTGAAAGATCAGAGGCTGGAGAGTTGGGAAAGTGGCATCGAGGGTCTGCCCAGTTCTCACGTCCTTCTGGAAGCTCCACTTTTAGAAAGAGGGTGCAGATCTATCAATGCTGTTCTTATATTCTCACCTAAGAGTGGAGAAAACTGTACTCTGGAAAAGATCTCAGTGGTGGTGGACCACCCCAGTGCAGTTCCCTTTGGCACCAGCAGTGCATCATCCACGTGCATGAAAACCTCCTGGCCGTGGGAGCTCAAGCCACTCTTTCCAACACAACTGAACTCAGGGAGGTCCTACAGCCCCCTGTGCAGGTGACCATAAGAGATGCTATTACAACCTCTCCTTTTCCAGAGATGGTGGAACCATGGCTTATGAACCACAACCAGACTACAGGCAGCCCCAGAGTCACTCCCGGACTGCAGGGCAGTTGCACAAGAAGTAGTGGGGTGATGCTGTCCCATGGTCATCAGATGATCTGAGCCCACATCAGCAGAAGAAAGCAGGTTTGAGAGGCAGACAGTAACACACCTCATTTGGAGAGCACCAAAGATCTTCCTGGAATAATGCCCTGGCAGAACTGCTCCATCCCTTCAAGCTCTCCCATGTCCCACACGTTTCCTTGCCCTCAACCCTATGAAGGTTTTGCTAAGCTTTCC